TCAGACAATGAAGACAAAGTATTTCAACTTGAAAAGAACATAGACAGCTCAGGAAGACTGTTAAGAAACCATGAGCAGAACATCCAAGAAATATGGGATAACATAAAGAGACCAAACTTAAGAGTCATTGGGATACAGGAAGGTATAGAGGTACAAACCAAAGGAATGAGCAATCTATTCAATGAAATAATATGAGAAAACTTCCCAGACTCGAAGAATGAGACAGAATCCCAAATCCTAGAAGCCTACAGGACGCCGAATGTGCAAAATCACAAGAGATCCACACCTAGACACATTATAATGAAGATGCCCAACATACAGAATAAGGAGAGAATTTTAAAAGCTATAAGAGAAAGGAAGCAGATTACATTTAGGGGTAAGCCAATCAGGATAACAGCTGATCTTTCAACACAGACTCTGAAAGCTAGAAGATCCTGGAATAACATATTTCAAACACTGAAAGAAAATGGGTTCCAACCAAGAATTGTGTATCCAGCGAAATTAAGCTACAGGATGGAAGATGAAATTAAAACCTTCCACGATAAACAAAAGTTAAAAGAATTTGCAGCTAGAAAACCATCTCTTCAAAACATCCTCGGCAAAACATTACAGGAAGAGGAAATGGAAAATAACAATGAAAACCAACAGTGGGAGGTAGGACAGTAAAGGGGGGGGGGAATAATCAAAGAGGAAAACAAACCATGTTTAGTAACAGAAATAAACAAATATGGCTGGAAGAACAACCCATATCTCAATAATGACCCTAAATGTTAATGGCTTAAACTCACCAATTAAGAGACACAGGCTAGTAGAATGGATCACAAAACAAGACCCAACAATATGCTGCCTACAGGAGACGCATTTGATAGGAAAAGACATACATAGGCTGAAGGTGAAAGGTTGGGAAAAATCATATCACTCATATGGACTTCGGAAACAAGCAGGAGTGTCCATACTGAATAAAATAGATTTCAAGCCAAAGTTAATCAAAAGGGATAAACAGGGACACTACATACTGCTCAAGGGAACCATATACCAACAAGACATAACAATCATAAATATATATGCCCCAAACAATGGTGCAGCTATGTTCATCAAACAAACTCTTCTCAAGTTCAAGAGTCTAATAGACCACCATACAATAATCATGGGAGACTTCAACACACCTCTCTCGCCACTGGACAGATCTTCCAAACAAAAGCTGAATAAGGAAACTACAGAACTCAATAACACAATTAATAACCTAGACTTAATTGACATATATAGAATATACCACCCAACATCAAGCAGTTACACTTTTTTCTCAGCAGCACATGGATCCTTCTCAAAAATAGATCATATATTATGTCACAGGGCAACTCTTAGACAATATAAAGGAGTAGAGATAATACCATGCATCTTATCTGATCATAATGGAATGAAACTGAAAATCAATGATAAAAGAAGGAAGGAAAAATCATGCATCACTTGGAGAATGAACAATAGGTTACTGAATGATCAATGGGTTATAGAAGACATCAAGGAGGAAATTAAAATATTCTTAGAGATAAATGAAAACACAGACACAACATATCGGAATCTATGGGACACATTGAAAGCAGTTCTAAGAGGAAAATTCATTGCTTGGAGTTCATTCCTTAAAAAAAGAAAAAACCAACAAATAAATGATCTTATACTTCATCTCAAAATCCTAGAAAAAGAAGAGCAAAACAACAGCAAAAGAAGTAGAAGGCAAGAAATAATGAAAATCAGAGCTGAAATTAATGAAATCGAAACAAAAGAAACAATTGAAAAAATTGACAAAACTAAAAGTTGGTTCTTTGAAAAAATAAATAAGATCGACAGACCCTTAGCCATGCTAACGAAGAGAAGAAGAGAGAGAACTCAAATTACTAGCATACGGGATGAAAAAGGCAATATCACAACAGACACTTCAGAAATACAGAAGATAATCAGAAATTATTTTGAATCCTTATACTCCAATAAACCAGAAGATAGTGAAGGCATCGATAAATTTCTTAAGTCATATGATCTGCCCAGATTGAGTCAGGAGGATATAGACAACCTAAACAGACCAATATCAATTGAGGAAATAGAAGAAACCATCAAAAGACTACCAACTAAGAAAAGCCCAGGACCGGATGGGTATACAGCAGAGTTCTACAAAACCTTTAAAGAGGAACTAATACCAATACTTTTCAAGCTACTTCAGGAAATAGAAAAAGAGGGAGAACTTCCAAATTCATTCTACAAGGCCAACATCACCCTGATACCTAAACCAGACAAAGACACTTCAAAGAAAGAAAACTACAGACCAATATCTCTAATGAACCTAGATGCAAAAATCCTCAATAAAATTCTGGCGAATCGGATACAAAAACATATCAAAAAAATTGTGCACGATGGTCAAGTAGGATTCATCCCTGGGACGCAAGGCTGGTTCAATATACGGAAATCAATAAATGTTATTCACCACATCAATAGACTTAAAAATATGAACCATATGATCATCTCGATAGATGCGGAAAAAGCATTCGACAAAGTACAGCATCCCTTTATGTTCAAAACTCTAGAAAAACTAGGGATAACAGGAACATACCTCAATATTGTAAAAGCAATCTATGCTAAGCCTCAGGCTAGCATCATTCTGAATGGAGAAAAATTGAAGGCATTCCCTCTAAAATCTGGAACAAGACAGGGATGCCCTCTCTCACCACTTCTGTTCAACAGTTCTCGAAACACTGGCCAGAACAATTAGAGAGACGAAAGAAATTAAAGGCATAAAAATAGGAAAAGAACTTAAATTATCACTATTTTCAGTTGACATGATTCTATACCTAGCAGACCCAAAAGGGTCTACAAAGAAACTATTAGAGCTAATAAATGAATTCAGCAAAGTGGCAGGATATAAAATCAACATGCATAAATCAAAGGCATTCCTGTATATCAGCGACAAATCCTCTCAAATGGAAATGAGGACAACCACTCCATTCACAATATCCTCAAAAAAAATAAAATACTTGGGAATCAACCTAACAAAAGAGGTGAAAGACTTATACAATGAAAACTACAGAACCCTAAAGAGAGAAATAGAAGAAGATCTTAGAAGATGGAAAAATATACCCTGTTCATGGATAGGCAGAACATCATCAAAATGGCGATATTACCAAAAGTTCTCTATAGGTTTAATGCAATGGCAATCAAAATCCCAATGGCATTTCTTGTAGAAATAGAGAAAGCAATCATGAAATTCATATGGAAAAATAAAAGACCCAGAATAGCAAAAACAATGCTAAGCAGGAAGTGTGAATCAGGTGGTATAGCGATACCAGACTTCAAACTATACTACAGAGCAATAGTAACAAAAACAGCATGGTACTGGTACCAAAACAGGCGGGTGGACCAATGGTACAGAATAGAGGACACAGAAACCAATCCACAAAACTACAACTATTTTATATTTGATAAAGGGGCTAAAAGCATGCAATGGAGGAAGGATAGCATCTTCAACAAATGGTGCTGGGAAAACTGGAAATCCATATGCAACAAAATGAAACTGAATCCCTTTCTCTCACCATGCACAAAAGTTAATTCAAAATGGATCAAGGAGCTTGACATCAAATCAGAGACACGGCGTCTGATAGAAGAAAAAGTTGGCTACAATCTACATACTGTGGGGTCGGGCTCCAAATTCCTCAATAGGACACCCATAGCACAAAAGTTAATAACTAGAATCAACAAATGGGACTTACTCAAACTAAAAAGTTTTTTCTCAGCAAAAGATACAATAAGAGAGGTAAATAGAGAGCCTACATCCTGGGAACAAATCTTTACTCCTCACACTTCAGATAGAGCCCTAATATCCAGAGTATTCAAAGAACTCAAAAAATTAGACAATAAGATAACAAATAACCCAATCAACAAATGGGCCAAGGACCTGAACAGACACTTCTCAGAGGAGGACATACAATCAATCAACAAGTACATGAAAAAATGCTCACCATCTCTAGCTGTCAGAGAAATGCAAATCAAAACCACCCTAAGATACCATCTCACTCCAGTAAGATTGGCAGCCATTATGAAGTCAAACAACAACAAGTGCTGGCGAGGATGTGGGGAAAAGGGTACACTTGTACATTGCTGGTGGGACTGCAAATTGGTGCAGCCAATTTGGAAAGCAGTATGGAGATTTCTTGGAAAGCTGGGAATGGAACCACCATTTGACCCAGCTATTGCCCTTCTTGGTCTATTCCCTAAAGACCTAAAAAGAGCATGCTACAGGGACACTGCTACATCGATGTTCATAGCAGCACAATTCACAATAGCAAGATTGTGGAACCAACCTAGATGCCCTTCAATAGACGAATGGATAAAAAAAATGTGGCATTTATACACAATGGAGTATTACTCTGCATTAAAAAATGACAAAATCATAGAATTTGCAGGGAAATGGATGGCATTAGAGCAGATTATGCTAAGTGAAGCTAGCCAATCCCTAAAAAACAAATGCCAAATGTCTTCTTTGATATAAGGAGAGTAACTAAGAACAGAGTAGGGACGAAGAGCATGAGAAGATTAACATTAAACAGGGATGAGAGGTGGGAGGGAAAGGGAGAGAGAAGGGAAATGGCATGGAAATGGAAGGAGACCCTCAGGGTTATACAAAATTACATACAAGAGGAAGTGAGGGGAAAGGGAAAAATAATACAAGGGGGAGAAATGAATGACAGTAGATGGGGTAGAGACAGAAGATGGGAGGGGAGGGGATGGGGGATAGTAGAGGATAGGAAAGGCAGCAGAATACAACAGACACTAGTATGGCAACATGTAAATCAATGGATGTGTAACTGCTGTGATTCTGCAATCTGTATACGGGGTAAAAATGGGAGTTCATAACCCACTTGAATCAAAGTGTGAAATATGATATATCAAGAACTACGTAATGTTTTGAACAACCAACAATAAAAAATTTTAAAAACAGAAGCTGAAATCTCACAATACAGATTTTATATTTTTAATTCTCCCACCCTCAGAAGCATTCATCATTCACAAACATTCCAGAAGCTTGAGGTTATAATTAGAATAAATTTCTCAAATTATTAATTGTATGCAAGTTGGAACACACACAAATGCAGCTGGAGACAAATGAACATAGGTATATTTCACATTCCATTTTCAAGTTGTCTTGCAGAGCTATGATTTTCCCATAGTAAAGTGATAAAAATCAAAGCTAAATCAAATACAGTACCATCTTTCCAATTCTCAAATATGGCAAAATAAATGTAATTGCCTTGTTAGGAATATAAAGGGAAAGAAGCACGCCTGTGAAATTTCAAAATATTTAAAAAACACAAATTGGGCATTTCCATAGCAACTTGTAACAGAGTTCTTGGACCTCTGAAGTCTAGCGAAGATCTTCAAGGATATGTCTTTTTTTTGTTGTTGCCTCATGTAGAATAATTCAATAAGAGTGACTGCTCTGTCGGAGCATTTATTTTTATTTCCAGGTCTTTCCATCAAAAATTTTAACTAAAATACCCAGAAACACCCCCCCCCCACAAAAAAAAAATCAGCAGTATAAGACCAGGCAATAAAAGGCAAAGATATCTTGTCAAACTTACCTAAGAAGGCAGTCAGTGGTACAACCTGAGGAAACAAGATTCTCTTTAGGACTTACTCTTTCAGTATAACTACATTAATAAGTCTTCTTGTTCAAGTTAAGCAAAGCAAAAGTTAAGTGTTCTGAGAACTAGGCAAGGTCTGTGGAGGAAAGCATTCTTTAATTTAAATCTCATTGATAACACTTGGGCATTTTGCAAACATTCCTTTTGTTTTTATTTTTTATATCAGTCAGGCCTTGTGGTTCCTATGGATATCAATCAATTACTATCAAAATACTTTCATAAATCCTTCTTAATTGGGATTGTGGAAAGACAGGTACAACAGACATGAAAGTCAGGCATTCTGAGCATGGGCGATGAAGGATCCTCTTTTGTGGAAGTAATCCTTTTTTTCCAGGGATGATCCATATGACCAGATTGTAAGCAACTTTGGGTTGACCCTACAAATTCTACAATCATAAAGTGTATTTTGAAAACATGAATCTTATAATATTCCCAATAAATATATTCAATAATATCTTCTTGGTGGTATGAGCAGCATAATAGAATTTGTCTTGGTAGCACAAATACACCTAATGAATACAACTATTTTTCATCTGACAACAAAAATGTTCAAAACATAATAATGCAATATCAACGAGAGAATTTTAATTATTGCATGAAGTTCACAATTTCCTAGTAATTCCTTTTGCTTTTAGACTGTATCACACTAAGGCTTTGCAATCATAATTTGTTCCAGTCACCCAATGACATTGTCTCTGTGGCTGTTAGTCCTCAGCTGACATCAATTTGGTTCAGTTGTTTTCATTTTGCTTTGTTTGCTGGCGTTCTAGACTCTAACAGTTCTAAGCTCTTAGAATGTTATGGCTTTCAGCTGCTCATGGAGACAAGGGTCTACTTGGTGATGATGGAAAACACTCAACTAGCTCAGTCTCTGAACTGCACAACTTCACTTGCAATTATGTGACCTTTAATCCCAGTGGATCGGGAACCTGACACAGGAGGATGGCGAGTTCAAAGCCAGCCTCAGCAATGGTGAGGCGCTAAGCACTCATTAAGACCCTGTCTCTAAATAAAATATGGGGATATGGCTCATTAGTCAAGTGCCCATGAGTTCAATCCCCAGTACTCCCCACTACCAAAGAAAAAGATGGTATGACAAGGTTTCTTAGAATCAGGTCCATATTTTATCTCAAGGAAAATTTATAATCTTCTCCAATTTATCTGCCAAACTTATTCCTAAATATTCAACCATAATTAATTTTATCATGGTTCCAAATTAAGCAAAAAACTGGAGTCATAACTTCTGCTGTCAAGTTTTCCTATGTTAAGTCTTTTTCACAAGCCCACTAGAATACTTTATCCTCCCAAATAAATGTTTAAAATCACCTTCATAATATGTAACAGCCCTTCTAGTTTTCTATCTTTGGCTAAATAAACTTAATGCCTAAAAATTTCTACTTTAGGCTCTAGCAGTAAATAGTGTCATATTCTGTATTCCAGAGTTCTTAAATAGAAAATGGAATGTACAGGTGTTTTGTTTTTTTTTTCCCCCCTTTGGTGGTACATGGGATTAAACCCAGGCAGAGCCTAGCACATACAAGACAAGCAAAGTGCTCTACCACTTCCAGTTCATTCGTTTGTTCATTTGTTCATTTATTTATTTATTTATTTATTTATTTATTTATTATTCTTAATTTTGAGACAGGATCTTGCTAAGTTGCCCAGGCTGGCTGCAAACTTTTGATTGTCCTGCCTCATCCTCCTGAGTAACTGCAATTACAGGTATGTGATACTGTACCCAGTAGAATGTATACTTACTTAAGTCTGTAATTCTGCCCCTATGCAAAATACTAAGAATCATCTCACTATATCCTTTTATTTTACAAAACTTTAATGTGTGGGACTTTTTTGTACAATTTGACATCATTCGTTATCAGATCCCATTCTTTAAACGCCTCTAACAAGTTGTAATTTTATGAACTGGGACAGATACTTAAGTTTAATTCTCATACTCTTTCACAATTAAGCATACTACATTTCTAGTACTTCAAAGATTTTAATTATTGTCAAATATATCTGGATTATAGCTTAACCCATACATTTTCAGAGAGTTCATGATTTTTATATAAAGGCAAATTAAATAATACCTAAACATCTAAACTTAATACATTAAAGTCATAACGATACAATCATTTCAAAATTATTGGAAAATATGTCATTTTCTTGAAATGAACTTGGCATAGAAGGCAGTAAAGAGGTCTTTATAAGGAGTATCTGAATTGGACTTGGTCAACGGTATTCGGCAAAATTGGCGAAATCTAGGAGAACGCAGCAGCAAGTTCTGTGAAAGGCCCATGAAGCTGGAGCACAGCCAGTAGAGAACAACTGACTAAAAAGAGAGAACATGGATATTAGTGCCTGTCCATTCTTGAAGGATACAAAGTCCAGAGACAAAAAAGCAATAAAAAAGAAAATAAAAATCTCTAAATGAAAGTACACTGGGACCAAGCTAACATGTGCAGTTATTATATATTGTGAGGGATCTAATAAGAAAGTAAGTTGAAAGGAAAACCAAAGGCAAAAAGAAGTATTTTTGGTATCAAGTGGATGGCGGAAAGCAGTTGTCAGGTGAGGCCCAGGAGTGATCTCACCCCCACTTTGGCAATTAAGCATATTTTTCTCCACCAAAGGTTCTGACAAACTGATTATATAGTGAGGGTAGAATACGAAAAATGGGGCTGTGGCCATTTGTGATAGCAATATTAAGACTCCCTAGACCTTATTTTCCCCCATGTACTCATTTATCTTCCCCAAATATTCCCCATAACCAGTGTTTCAGAGGAGTCAGGAATGCATTATCTCTGCCTTCTTGAGAGAGCTTCAGCATTAGCTGCATCTTTCTTTTTTGTTATCATCCAGACTGTTTATTTAGGTCAATGACCAAGTTCTACAGCCTCTGTATATGTTGTCTATGTATAGACAACACATCTGTTCCAAACTTTGGTCATTGGGTCAGGCCCCACAAGCAAAACCATGTGGTTGTTCAGTCCTGGTTGTAGAGACAAATGCCTTAGTTTGATCCTATTTGCTATTTATCTGACTTTTCATAAGTTATTTTCCTTTGTTTCAGTTGCTTCACCTAAAATAAGCCAGAAACTAATGCACCTCAAAAGACTGCTTTGAGGAATAAATGAGATATTTCATATAGTGTGATAATAATAATAAGCACAGTACGTGGCCTATGTTAAGCACTTGCATCTGTTCCAAAATAAGTCTTTCAGGGCAGAATACAAAATGTCATCAAAGGTAGATTAGCACAACAGTTAGAAGCAACAGCCAAACAGCCTGGATGTGTGGTAAGACTCAGCATAAGTAGGTAAGTGAACTTGGGAGTTATTTAACCTACTTGTGCCTCAGTTTCCTCATCACCAAAGTAGAGATTAAAAGAGTACCTACCTCATTGCACTTTTGGGAGAATTAAATGAGGTAATGTACCTAAACCATTTTACAGTGCCTGGCACAAAAGTCAACACTGAATAAACATTAGCTATCATCATCTGACTTATCCATCAACCAGAAAACCACCTAAGCCTAACCTCATTGACTATAATTTATCATGTAAATATCAATCCCTCTCCTTCCTGAGCAACAAAATCCAGATTTTTCAGTTGGGTACGCTGCCATCTGGAGGGGGAGAGGGTCTATACATACTTCCCAAGTCTCTTCAGCAGTCAAGTGTGGCCACACAATTAAGATATAAACACAATAGTTTGGTGGGATAGCTGGCAATGCAAAGGAGCTGATTGTATTTAAAGCAGCAAGATAGCAAGCTCTAGAAGTCATCATGATCATCCTGTAGCCTTAGGGAGAGAAATAACAGACTATGGATGTTGGAGCAGAGATAGGCAGGCACATTTGTAATCCCAGTGACTTGAGAAGCTGAGTCAGAAGGATAGCAATTTCAAGACCAGTCTCAGCAACTTAGAAGAGTCTGTCTCAAAAAATTTTACAAAAAGGATTTAAGATTGGATGCACTGGTAAAGCACCCCTAAGTTTAAGCTCCAGTACCACAAAAGAAAAAAAAAAAAGAAAGAGAAGCAGGTGGGTCTCCACTGTCTTCAGAAGTTGGCATATCACCCCTAAACTACCTAACTCTTGGTTTCCTATGTTTGACAGAATAAGCTTTGGTATTGAAGACACTATTTTTTAGATGTGTTACTCTGAATCTGATCCTTCACTGAAACTTCATTGCTCCTATTTTATTTCATTAGGGGGAGTTTCTCTGATTGAACTGGTATTGTTTATTCCCAGAAATGCAATGAAATTTATACTATTCTACTTTTATGGGATATTTTACAATACTCCCATTATATAGAAAGTACTACAATAGGTACTTGATGCTTTTTCAGTAATTCTCATAGACATTATGATGTGTATCTCAGAGATGAGGAACCTTACTTATTTTGCACAGGATTAAAGACAGAATTATATTCAAGTGATAGCTTAAAAAACACATTTTGATGTAAAAAACATATTACTCCTTAACTACTCTGAATTACTTAAACATTTGCTGATATAACCCTAACTACTAGCAACAAATAAATTCTACTTAATGGTCTGTGTTGGCTTTGAGTAAAAATGGAGCTACCTACCACAGCTTTAAAGTATCTGTGGGAAATACACAAAGGACTGAAATAACTTAAAACAAATTCTAATTTTTATCAAAAGTTTAATGAGGTATAAATAAGGACAAATGTACTTTTCTCATAATGTTGTTAAAAGGGTAAGTAATATAACTAATTTCTTTAGTCTGTCTATACAGAAAGAAAAAGTTCAATATATCAACTAATTAAATAGGGCAAATACTATATTTGGTATGATGCAAAATACTTTGCAAGATTAAAAAAAACAGAGGCAGGAAAAAGGAGTTTGATTTAGTAGAAGAGTTAAGACATATTTACATAAAAGAAGATTAACCAATCCCAAGAAATGTCCAAATTTCTTAGTGATAGAAACAGAGTAGCTTAGTTATCATACACATTACCATATCAGTAAGAGATCAAGTGGTCAGAGGAAACTCAATAAAAGAGGCAAGATCCCAGTCAGTTTAAGCTCAGGAGAAGATTTAGTACATGAAACACCCAATGCTGGTGCTTACTCACAGAAGGTACTGTTGCAGCAACTGGAATCATCAATACTGATACAGCACGGACAAAGTATGTAATATACGTCTGAAAATGAGACATTCCAATTTTCTGTAGAGCAAAAATCTGAAGGGAGAGAATATATGTATACATACAATGATTAGTACAATGCATATTATATCAGACAAGCTTTAAAATAACTTAAGCTTTAAGATAACTTTATGTGATTGATCATCTTTCTTAAAAAATATCTTAATAATTATGCAGAATTCTTCCTCTACTCTAAGTTGTTCTTTTTTTTTTTTTTAATTTTTTATTGTGGGTTGTTCAAAACATTACAAATTTCTTGACATATCATATTCCACACTTTGATTCAAGTGGGTTATGAACTCCCACCTTCACCCCATACATAGATTGCAGAATCACATCAGTTACACATCCATTGATTTACATATTGCCATACTAGTCTGTTGTGCTCCGCTGCCTTTCCCATCCTCCACCCTCCCCCCTCCCCACCTCTCCCCTCCCCTCCCCTCCTCTCTCTCTACCCCCTCCACTGTATAACCCTGAAGGTCTCCTTCCATTACCATGCCATTTCCCTTCTCTCTCTCTTTCCCTCCCACCTCTCATCCCTGTTAAATGTTAATCTTCTTCTCCTGCTCTTCGTCCCTACTCTGATCTTAGTTACTCTCCTTATATCAAAGAAGACATTTGGCATTTGTTTTTTAGGGATTGGCTAGCTTCACTTAGCATAATCTGCTCTAATGCCATCCATTTCCCTGCAAATTCTATGATTTTGTCATTTTTTAATGCAAAGTAATACTCCATTGTGTATAAATGCCACATTTTTTTTATCCATTCGTCTATTGAAGGGCATCTAGGTTGGTTCCACAGTCTTGCTATTGTGAATTGTGCTGCTATGAACATCGATGTAGCAGTGTCCCTGTAGCATGCTCTTTTTAGGTCTTTAGGGAATAGACCAAGAAGGGGAATAGCTGGGTCAAATGGTGGTTCCATTCCCAGCTTTCCAAGAAATCTCCATACTGCTTTCCAAATTGGCTGCACCAATTTGCAGTCCCACCAGCAATGTACAAGTGTACCCTTTTCCCCACATCCTCGCCAGCACTTGTTGTTGTTTGACTTCATAATGGCTGCCAATCTTACTGGAGTGAGATGGTATCTTAGGGTGGTTTTGATTTGCATTTCTCTGACAGCTAGAGATGGTGAGCATTTTTTCATGTACTTGTTGATTGACTGTATGTCCTCCTCTGAGAAGTGTCTGTTCAGGTCCTTGGCCCATTTGTTGATTGGGTTGTTTGTTCTCTTATTGTCTAATTTTTTGAGTTCTTTGTATACTCTGGATATTAGGGCTCTATCTGAAGTGTGAGGAGTAAAGATTTGTTCCCAGGGTGTAGGCTCCCTATTTACCTCTCTTATTGTTTCTTTTTTCTTTTTTTGGTGGTGATGCTGGGGATTGAACCCAGAGCCTTCTGCATCTGAGGCAAGCACTCTACCCAACTGAGCTACACCCCCAGCCCCAATTATGCAGAATTCTTAAATGGAGCTTAAAGAATCCCTGAAAGACATGAACTGTGTAGAAATCATTGCCTTTATTTGTTGCCACCTAAATATAGTGACTGGTATAGAAAAGACATTGAATAGATACCTCATAGATTTGTGACCTGATTACATGGAGTAAAGGGGAGAACCAAGGCTAGAAAAAGTAGTTACGATGTGTCAATTATTTAAGAGGAAGCACAGTGTAATTATCATGACTGCAGAACCAAACTACCTAGGGTCAGACAGCGGCCCTGCAGTTTTAGTGGCTGAATAACATTGCAACACTTTAAACCTTTCTGTGCCTTTTTCCCCCTGCTCCTTAAAATGGGGTCATTATAGTCAGGGTTAACAATTAAATGAGTTAATTCATGTACATTGTGTACAAAAATGTCTAGCACATATTGTATATTAAATAAAAACAAGCTTTTATTAGTCATTAGAGGGTATGGAGGAAAAGACTAGAGCACTGATATTAATTAATTTTAACCTTTGTTTACCACTACATTTTTTATACCAAATATTCACTATCAACCAATTCAGGGGGCTATGCTAGGTGCTCTTAGGAAATATATTTAGACTACAAATGAAGTTTTTCCTCAAGAAATTTTTACCCAAGACCTTAGGCTTTATCATCTTCATTTTCCTCATTTGAAAAAATAAACAAACAGTATACAAGAAATATTTTTAAAAAGATGTTTAGATTTCCCAAGGATCAGTGGACCTGAGGTCTGTGAGATTCCAACTGTGGGAGGCCAACCTTACGGATGACTGAATTACACTCCCCAGCTGGGTGCTGAGGCACTCAGTCACAGAAATGGGTGTGTCTTGCTAGAGCCCCATGGGTGAAGCTATGCTCACCTGTTCCTTTGTAATATAACCCCTTGCCCTGTTTAGGATAGAATCTTCCATGGAAGTGCCTTGTGTGTGTCCCCTCCTCTTACTGTGCTCTTGGGTATGGCCTACCCAGGTGTCAGTCAACCTGCTGACAGTGGACATCATGAAGATAGACTCAGTCCCCTGAAACCTGACCCCTTGCCTCATTTGAATAGTTTCTCCTCAATAAAAGGGGTCAGCGCATGCTCTCTCTCTCTCTTTCTGCAGACCCTTAAGGTCAGAGGAGCCATCACAGCAACCCCAAAGAAAAAGGTATTTGTGTCTCTTGTGTGGTTATTTCGTGCAGCCCAGTTAGCCCAGTTTAACTAGAGTGACCACTGAGCCTTTTAGTCTCGAGAACAGAAACCCGGCATCCAACCACGGTAAAAAATTTCTAGCCAGTAATGGTGGTACATGTCTCTAATTCCAGAAACTAGGGACCTGACGCAGGAGAACTGCAAGCTCAAGGCCAGCCTCAGTGACTTTACAAAATTAATAAAAACAGCTGCAGATATAGCTCAGTGGAAGAGTGCCCCTTGGTTCACTCCCCAGTACCAAAAAGAAAATTTAAGGTTTCTTCCAGTTCTATGTAAGGGCTATTCAGAGTATGAGTCCGAGACTTTTTGTATGTCCATGTGTGTATGTCTAGATTTCTGTGGACAGAACCTAGGGAATTTTAACCACCGAGCTATATCCCCAGCCTTTTAAAAAATAAATTTTTTTAAAATATTAAGACAGGGCCTTGCTAATTTTCTTAGGCTGGCCTCGAACTTGCAATCCTCCTGCCTCAGCCTCTTGAGTTGCTGGGATTACAGCAATGTGCCACCACACTCAATTGAGAAGAGTTCTTTATGAAATTATAAGCATGCCTTCAAACTGTTGATAAGGCAGCACACGATAATGGCTTAGAGAAGACCAAGAGGATATACCTTATATTTATGTATTTTCTCAATTCATCTTGTAAAAGAAATTCCATGACTTTTCTAAGATCATTTAGCAAGAAAATGGCAGTCAGGTACTGACCGTGTTCCTGACCTACAAATTTTCATTTTATGCATACACACAAAATACTACTTATTGTGGGAATAAAATCAGATTGATCAAGAATCTTAATTAATATATGTACCAAAAATAAATTATAAAACTGAATGTATTAAAATCAGGCATTTTGAGAGCTGAAAGAGACTTTGGAAGTGTTCTAACTCAGTGATCTTATTTTAATTATGAGAATTTTATGATGCAGAAAGGTTAAGGGACTGGCCTCAGTTAATGTCTCAATTGCAGCTCAGAAGTATCTCCACCAACTCAAACATGTATATTTGATGTCAGAAGAGGAGCAACAAAATTTCTAATGACTTAAATGTCAAACAAATATCACTTAAAATCACTGACCTCCACTATTAATAAATTGGTGACACCAAGGGAGACAGGAAGAATCCAAGTAGAATCCAGCACAGTGAGATCAGGAAACCAGAGGATCCCACCAGTAGCTAATTGTTCCTGAACAGAAAAACCTGCTGAAACAGTTTTATAAATCAAATAATAGAATTCTTAAAAATAGCAGAGGAAAGTATACAAAACCTAAGTAGCTTGACAATTCTAATAAAGCACCCCTAACACTAGAGACTTTAAAGGTTTTAAAAGGTTATTTTTATTCACAATATGTTTTCTTCTTTTTTGTTATTTTTTACTCAATACAAAATATTTTTCTTAACAGAGCTAGCCTATTTACACTTCAGATTTTAAATTCTATATCTTGTAAGAAAGAGAGTAAATGGTAATTATAAAAACTATGATTTTTTTTCCTTTCTTTAAGTACAAAAAAAAAACAATGTTAAAGAACTTATTTGGGGAAGCAGAACTTCTATAACAATTACCTTCTGAATGTGCTCCCCCTGTGCTAAAATTCCGAAGGGCAACAGATATGAAGATCCACATTGGAAGCTGAATCCAGACCAACACAGTGGCTTTGAAAGGGTGGCAGTTGTCCCGAACATACAGCTCTGAAACAAGCCTCCTCATATTCTTTAGATAAGTGAGCCTAGTTTGAGGGAAGAGGGAAAGATAATATCATTTGACTGCTGGTAGTTCTTCATCCCCAAAGCACAAACACACCCATGCTATGATTACAGTTAAAGGGGTCTTAATTATGATATTGTGCAGGCAAATTAAACCTTTACTAAAACTTCTATAGCAATGTACAAAACTGCATAACAATGTGATAAATCTGACACTTTCAGACTACATGCTTTGTCTCTGATGGTCTTTAGCCAATTCAGTATTTTTTTTTTTCCTTTTGTTGTTATTGTTGTTGTTGCTGTACTGGAGATTAAACCTAGGGGTGCTTTACCACAGAGTTATGTCCCCAGCCCATTTTATCTTTTATTAAAACAGGGTCTCGCTAAGCTGTTTGGGGCCTCATTGAATTGCTGAGGCTGGCATCACACTTGGGATCCTACTGCCTTAGCCTCTAGATTTGCTAGGATTACAGGCCTGCACCACTGTGCCTAGAAGTCAATTAGATTTTAACAGAAAATTTCACTCCTGACATGGTCTAATTACAATTAATATCAGAAATATTAAAGCTGGAAGTCCATTTTACTCAAATCTGTGCATGGCTAAACCTTATTACTTGATCTCTGTACCTTTTGTAGCTATGTGATTTTGGACTGTATATTCTCTTGGACTATAAAATTGATCTCCATGTTTCAGTGAACTCTCTTGCGAAGATTCTCTCAATCTGTTTTCTGTTTACCACATTAATTACTTTGTTCATAAGTCTAGTTTCCTTGAGGGGCAAGTGTTCGGTTTTATTCATCTTTAAATCTCTTACATTATATACGCATGGCATTAGGGATTAAATCCAGGGGAGCACTATCACTGAGCTACATCTCTAGTCCTTTTTGTATTCTGACAAAGGGTCTCACTAAGTTGCTGATGCTGGTCTCCAACCTGTGATCCTCTTGCCTCAGCCTCCTGAGTCAAAGGGATTATATGTATGCACTACTGCACCCAGCTTCCTATATCATACATTTTGTATAAGGAAGGCATTCAATAGTTTTGTTCAATTTAATCAAATTATAGTATTGAATTAAGATAATACATTCAGGCCTTTCTCTTTTTCTAACTTTACCTCTAGTTACTTCTCTAATGACACCTGCACATTTTGGTTCCTGAATGACTTTCAGTTATCCAACAAATCAGACTTCCACATAAGCATGGCTTTGGAAGTATTATATAACCTAACAGACTCCCAACACAACACTGCTAAAAATACAGGAAGCCCTCATCAGATAAGTCTTCCTACAAAGTCAACAGTTTGTATAAGGATGGATCAAGCCAACCATCCTGCCAGTGCTACAAAAGCAAGGTGCCACAATCTAGGCTGTGTTCATAACCCAGGTGAATAGCCATTAATCTGTTCTTTTTGCTTTTGGCAAAAATAATCAAGTTTGTCTGAAAGATAAAATTTCAAAACTATAGGCTTGCCTACTTTTATCAAATAGACATTGAGCTATCACAATAATTTTTTAAAATGTCAGGTCTTTTTTGCACTAAATATAGACACGAGCTCATATTAAAGATAGCAAATATACATCTATATAAAATATATGAATAACAAGATATTCAACACTTATTTATACTAAAAACCCTTATTTTTCTCATTGCTGTGAACTGGTGACTACTTTGTTACAGTCTAATAAAGACTGGAAATCAACTAGCGAGTAGCTTAGGTTGACTGAAGCAGAATGATTTTTTAGTTCCCAGTAGATGACTATAGACATCCTTGGGCACAGTAAAGCACCTTTGGACAAGGGCTTTCCAAGAGGCACAGAACCACCACAGTGGTTTGGGCAGCACCATGGCTATGTAAATGCTTCTACTATGGCATTAACATTTTCTATGTCCCCTTTCATATGGTCTATTATCTGTATCTTTTCAAAAAGGTCAAATTTGCAAATTTCTGGACTAATATTCCAACAGAATGGCAAAGTATCTTCAAGTCATAACCTTCATCAATGCCCTAGCTCTTTGCACATACTCTTTATACACTCCTTAATTCATTGTCATTATTATTTATGATAGGCCTTTTTCAATGGGCTCGAGTCCCTCAAGAATAGGAATAAAGCTGAATAAGGTAGTCCTAGAACTTGGGAGTCTGAGGTGAAAGGATCAAAAGAACTCAGGATTTGGAGAACTGGGCAAGTTGCTATCTCAGAAATAAAAACCATGAGTAGGCTCTTATCTTTGCTGTTCTATCTCTTTGCTTTTTATTCAATATATAAAAGTATCATGCCACATACTGATTTATTAGAATATGAAATAGGAACTACTTTCCTGACAAATTTACCCAAACCAACAATTAACATCACTTACACATTTCTCTTTCTCTCTCTCTCTCTCTCTCTCTCTCTCTCTCTCTCTCACACACACACACACACACACAGATAATTTGTGGTCTTATATGCATAAAATTACTTACCTGGTAACTCTCTTGGACCATCCCAACTGATTTGCATAAACTGCAACTTCATGATTAAGATGCTTGGCAATGTTTTTTATTTCTGGTTGCAAATTTTCCACCTAGCTAAAGGAAAAGTAGAACTTGTAATGAGCACATAAAGGATCTTATTCATAACCTTTCATAATTTTATTCTTCCTTCATTTTAAAATCGTGGTTTATGTCAAGAAACTTTAAGTCTAAGCATAAAATGTCAATTTGCTTGGGATGTCCTTAGTCACAAATTCAAATTCCAGCTTGTATACCTAGTTGTCTAATCCTAGGTAAGGGATTTAACCCCTAAAATCCTACTCCCTCACTTTTAAAAGGTATAATAGCACAGAATTGTAAGTATTAAATGAAATCTGCATCGAGGGTTTTACTGTTTCACCCCTAGATTTTCCAGTAATGTAAACAGAGAAAACAACACACTGCTAATATGCTTTTAGTATGCTCTGATAGCCACAAAACCAAAACTAAAAACTGCATTTATTCTTGCCCTGTGTTCTTTCTGTAAAGAAGCTCACTGCCTTCATGCTGCTCCCGCTACCTTTCTTGTTTTTCTTTCCAGTAACTTTTTCCTAACTATAATAATATGAAAACCGTATTTATGAAATCTCACAATAATAATCCCTTTTTGTTTTCAAAGCATTTCAACTCATGTTATATGATTTCATATCATGAAATTGTGATGTAAAGGAATGTATTTTTATACTGACACCACAGAAAGGAGAACCATGTCTTAAAAAGTCAAGTGACAGTTACAGGTGGTAAGTGCCAAGATAAGATATTGTTTGCAAACTGATACCTTAGTAGTTTCTTTCTTATAAGAAATATAAGCTGGAATACTTTGGTCAAAGATGCCGCTGACATACTGCCTGATAAAACTTTTTAAGATGTTAATGTTACATAGTTTTTTCCATGCAATTTCTTCTTCTTTTTTTTAAGTGTAATGTTTGATGACTTTAGTTTTTGCTTGTAGTGTGAAAAAATTATCGGTGCATAATTATACATAGTAGTAGAATTCGTTCTTAAATATTTGTACATGCAAACAATATTCTCATTTCTTTACTGGTCTCATCATGAACAAGTTGAGTAACCACTTGTGCTCTGAGCACAAACCCAGGAGGACAAACGAAAATTTCAGGTACACGTGTGACAGAATATTTACACATCCAATGCTACTTAAAATTTTTAGTAATAAAGTGGCCTTGATGACTAACAATAACACTATGGTACCATAGCGGGATCTGAGACCCAGGAAGACGTCTAACCTCCACTGCTAGGGCTACATCAAGTATGCGAGCGGCTCGGCGCTCCTCACCTTGGCCAGGATGTAGTGCTGGTAAGCGGCCAGGGGCAGCGTGACAGCGCCGCGCAGGGCCACAGTGGTGAGCAAGATGCTGCCCCACCAGGGAAGGCCTGTGGCGGCGTGCGCGCAGAGCAGCACTTCCTCAGCGGCCCGCACCGGCGCGGACGTGGCTAGGGCCTCGTACCAGCCGCCCGCACCGTCAGGGGAAACTGCAGAAACTGACGCCACCGCCCACATTGGGAGAGCTGGGGGTTTGGCGCCGTTCCAGAGGGATGGCAGAAGAGGCAGGCCCCTAGTCCGCAGCTGTAGGGTAGGTAGCACCCGCTGCCACCGACAACCCATCCCACACATCATGCCTACGCTGGAGCGGAGCTCAGGTCGCGGGACTCCGGGACCAGCGATTCGCACCGCTCAACCCAGAGCCCGCGCAGGCGCCAACTGTACTAGGCGTAGCCGTGCGCGCCGTTCCGCAGCCTTCCGATTGACCTTCCTATTCAAGTCGGTGACGTCTTGCGTCGCACTGGAGATGACGTAAGAGTTAAGGAAGTCCCACCTTTCCCACGCGGCACTAGGCAGTTCTGGAACTCACTGGAGGAGCTCCAGCGGCTGGGGTCCCGACCGGAACTGTGGACAGGGGCGGGGTGTTCTCTAGGGAGAGCTTACTTTATAATCTAGTCTTCTGCGTTTGCCTTTCTCTTTGTTTTCACCAAGCCTAATCGTGTTATTGGTAGTGAACTCTGCTTGCTATGTGGTTTTGTGTCCAGAAGTTGTTCCTCACTATTTTTCGTGCATCCAACTGCTTCCGCTAGACATTATTTACGATAATAATGCCCCAGAGTCAATGCTTTGCTGAAATGCCGGCTTTCCCGAAAGTGTTGTTAATCAGCATTCGTTAAACATTAGGCATAATTTAGTCTTTGGTATAATATTTCATTGGTCCATGTTTTCCGGCTAGCGTTTTAAACCCCAGCTGCAAATTTGAGTTTCCTTCGATACATTATATATAGTAGCAAAAATCTTACGTATTATTTTCTGATTTAAAGAGTAAGGATCACTGGCAGCATGAAGTGTATCATCATAACTCAAGTAAAAATACATCAAAAGAATGGATTATTTAACCTCTACAGTGATTAAAAATGGATTTTTTTCCTTCGATGTAATCATCTTGAAATAATATTCTAAAGTTTCTATTCAAAAGAAAGGTTTTTTTAAAATTTTCTTAAAAAGTTATAGAAGGACATAGTATCTTTATTTATTTTTATGTGGTGCTGAGGATCGAACCCAGTGCCTCACATGTGCAAGGTGAGCGCTTTGCCACCGAGCCACAACCCCAGCCCCTCAAAAGGAAGTTTTAAAAATATAGTTCAAAGGTACTGTGATGCCAGATTTAAATAGGAATGAGTTTTTTGTTGTTGTTGTTGCCAGATTATGGGACAGCATTTTTTTTTGAGCGGGAGAGGGCAGTGCTGCTGGGGTCAAACCCAAAGCCTTATGCATATTAGGCAAGCACTCTACCACTGTCCTTAATTTTAGGGTTATGTCACAGTTAATGGTTTCCTCAGCTTTGAGTTCCTTACAGAGTAACTAAATGTATAAAGCCCTGCATGGTTCCACTTAGGATTTTACTATTTTGTGATAGTGTGAAAGCTATATGCATTCAGTGGAAACTGTACTCCGAATTTTAAATTTTTTCTTAGGCTAATAATTTATATTCTTGCTGCAGCTCCCAGCTAGTCTGTCATCATAAAGATAACCTACACTAGCTGGGGGTGGGTGTGATTCAGTGGTAGAGTGCCTGTGTAAAGAAGGTCCTGGGTTCAAACTCCAGCACAACACAACTCACCCTCCAAAAGGCTACTCATACAGCATTACTATGTTCTTATTGTTTGACAAATGTATTAAATACATTTTTATTTACAATTTTTCAATTTACAGTTTATAAAAATCTAAGAGTGATGTTATCTGGGTGTGGGTCCATGGGAAGTAATTAAGTTATAAGAATGGTCCCTCATAAGTTGAATTAGTGTCCTTATAAGAGAAAAAAAGATAACTACCCCATGTGAAGAAACAAGAAGTTTCTCACCAGGAACGGAATAGGCCAACAGGTTTGTATTGGATATCTTAGCTTTCAGAACTATGAGAAATAAAATTTATTAATGCCATCCAGTCAATAGATTGGTAATAACTGGCCAAAGTTTTCGAAATGTGAATAGATTATGTCATTTAGATTTTTCATTTTCATATATATTTATATATATTTCATCTGAAATGTTTCAAAAGTACCATTTTTTTCATGAGCAAGTTACTCCTTGGAATCAGATTTAGAGTTTTTACTACTTCTTCAAGGTAATACTTTTCAAAACTGAAACTACCTAATGCAATTAGTTTTCCCTCTCTGCACTGAGAAATATCCTGTCATTTTTATTTTTTGGTTTTCAAGGACTGAACTTGGGAAGTTGGCTTTCACTTTATAACAATGTGAATCCATTTAAACATAGAATTCTAACATGAAATCTCTTACAACAGAACTGTTAGTCCGTTACTGTGTCTCACATTATAAAGGAATTCTGTCCAAGTTCCAGTTTTCTCTGTTCACCTATTCAAAATTAAAATGATAGTATTTTTTGCAATCAAGATGTCCAATATAAAGCATTAATGTTCTCATCTTAAATGCCAGTTACCTGAGTTGATCAAACGCTATGCCTTATTCAAGCAAACATTTATTCAGTGAGATGTGTATTTCCAAAGAGATCTGGGAGCATCCCAAATTTACAAAGTATAACCTATATATATACGAAACATAATTCATATATCTAAAGTAAAAATAGATAAATGGAATACTAAATCTCTAGTGCTTAAAAAGTAAATTGGGGAGCTGGAGTTGTAGTTCAGTGGAAGAGCACTTGCCTGGCATGTGTGAGGCACTGAGTTTGATTGTCAGCACCACATATAAATAAAGGTCCAATAACAACTAAAAATATTTTTTAAAAATTGGTTTTCTTCTGATGTTTTAATTTTCCCTTGATATTTTACAATAATCCTGACATGAAAATTTCTTATTTATGTTTTGGTACACTTTAATATCAGATCCGTGGGAGTGAAAAATGTTTTGGTGATTGATTGAACCCAGGGCCTTGTAAATGCTAGGCAAGCACTATACCAGTAATCTATAAGCCTAGCTTATGAGAGTGTTTTTGAAAAATATCAAAGTGAAAATAGACTGAATCAGAGGATTTGAAGAGGCTTTATGATCCTGAGTTTCCCAATTTATAACACCTTGTACTATTTTAAAGATAAAGTGAATAATATAGAGTGCAATATTATTTTAATGAAATGTGTATTTAGGTAATTTGAGTCGAAAGACAGATGGGATACTTTTTGAAGAACAAGCAGGAATACTTAATACACTATTTACCTATTTTGTTTCCCCAGAGAACAAAAATGACTATTCATGATTTATAAAAAAAATATTCTACTAGTAAAATAAAAATGATTTTACTTTATAATAATAGGAAACAGAATTTTCTTTCATATAAACACTAAAATCAGTTTTGCTGGTTATGTTTATATGTTGAAAAGATACGAAAGAGGGATTTTGTTGGAAATACTAAGCAGTCATTTTTAAAATGGAATAGTTGGTATAAATAGGTTGCAGAGTAATTGAGATACTACTTGGGAAATTAAGGTGTGAAATAACCCATGGATTATTTCCAAGAATTAAACACTTCTTAAAAAGAGTAAGAGGAAATAAACACAATGTGTTCTGCATGTATATATCTTGCATACTTTGGAAGAAGAAAAGACCTTCAGGGTCTCAAAAAATTGGTTTTTTATTGTTCAAATAAATATGCACTGTTATTACATCTGAAATATAAAAAATGTATTTGAAAAATGTTCCTAGTACAGACTTCTAAAATCATGTACTTCACAAGCCTGATCTCAAAATATAAATATGGAGCATTCCAATCTATATTCACCTGCTCCAGTTTTTAAAGTCAAGAAAATAAAGGGATTTTCCCCCTGCATTTTGAATGTCACCCCATATTAAGAAATTCTGTTTAGTGAAGAAACAACCAAATTCATGTGTTGTAATAAATACTGAGTAGTATCTGCTCTCCAGGAAGATTAAGTTGAAAATAACCCTAGTTAACACAGAAAAGAAATAGGCAAAAAAATATAGAACACTGGCAAAAGTCATATATCTTTGTTAAATAACATTACACCCCCTTTTTAGTAAAGTGCTGTAGTTTATTTCATTACTATTTATTTGTAGATCTTCTATCTTTTCCTTTAAATTTGGGCATAGTCAAGTGAAAAAACAAATTTACATATTTTAACAAAATTATATATTTTAAGATCATATGCTAAATTAAAACATGAGGGTGCTGTTTATAGACTTCTAGATGTGTTTGAAAAATCAACTTTCTATTCTTTAGTCAGATTATCAGAGGCAAGAAATATTCATTTTCTTGAACAGCCAAGGAATCATACTGTCAACTCTGGGTAATTTATCTGAATTCTAGTTTATGTTTTACCAGTGTAGAATTTGTGTCTAACTAAAAAAAAAAAAAAAAAAAAAAAAAAAAAAAAATTACAAATTGATATATATACATTACTTCACTTTTATGCTTTCTTTTACATTTCAACCATATAATTCATTTTTCCATAGGAGACAGGGCAGGACACGTATTCTTCTCGGATACATTGCTGTTTATTGTTTCAAGTGGATGGAATATATAAATCCCACTGAATAGTTTAGTGTGGTCCTGTATCTTACATAAACAGGATAAATGGAGACTTTATGTTGTAATCTTTGTATTCATGTATCTACCATAAACTGTCTTAATGACAAACGCAAACTTTCTTTTATTACTTGAACCCAAGTTAGCTGTTGATCCTTTTCATTGATAATATACAAGTGTAGAGAGCAAGAAGCTTTTCAAACTAAAAAAGAAATACTTCTCACTAAATTAATGAAAATTGAAAATTTTTATGTCTTGAGAAATGGAAAGCCAATGTTAAGAATCAATATTATCCAATATAAAATAGTACACTGAATTGTTTAATAATAAACAGTATATTAAGAACTTGTATATGCTGACTGTAACAGTGGTGGCTTTTTAAATTCTCAAAAAAGTCTAAACATTTTGTGGTTAGAAGAAACCATTGGCAATGATGAAGATGCTCCATCTCTGTAGCAATCATTATAGTGAAAATCTTTACAGAATTTTTGCACTATTAGCAGGAGAATTTTACTGGTATTAGTGATAACAGGCAAAAAGAGAAGAAAGTGAAGAGAATATGTATTAATTCTAGGAGTGTGGAAAAGTAATAACAAGACAAGGGAAAGTTAGAAATTTCTTCTGTATGTGCCTTGCTACAAACCCAAAAGAGAGGGGCGAGTGTTTTAAAAGCCAATGTAGGGAAACATCCACTGATAATGCCCATTATTTTACTTTATACTTAAATTACACAAGTAGAAAAGT